TCCGCGGGAGAAAGATGAGGCTTTCTACTCCCGTAAGGATTTACACCCTCGGAAACCCTGTACAGGGTCGCTATGGGTCAGAACCGACTCGAAGGCACTTAACAACAACAACAACAAACAGATAGTGTGTGGAAGAAGTTAATGGAGAGTTAATTGCACCTAACAACTAAAATTAACAAGACTTAACAGACAAAGGTTAAGAAACATGTGACTGTTAACTTGCTTCTCAGAGAAAAGAATAGATTTATGTATGAACAAATGTTTAACTAAAAGGTTTCAAGGCGCCTGAATGTCTCCTATGCCTTGAGATAATGTTTTTGCTTTAACTTCTCATCCCTGTTGTAAATTTAAGAATTGTAAACCATAAGGAATGTGCCCCAAGATAGATTGTACCTTGATGTCATTGATTACTATGAAAGCAATGTTTTCTGTAAGAGTATATAAGGGGGTTGTAAGATAGAACAGGGAGAACAAAGAAGAAGGAGGTGAAGAAGGGGTGTAGAAGAAGAGAAGGTGAGGGTGAAGAAGAATGAAGAGAAAGAAGAAGGGAAGATGGGAAGTGGAAGAATGGGTGCAAGAAGAATTAGAGGTAAGAGTAAGTAGAGGAAAACAGAACGAGACAAGAATGGAGGGAGGGGAAGCTAGTAAAGGGAACAGAAGAGGGGAGCAGGAGAGGAGAGAATGGAAGCAGAAGCAGGGGAGGGAAGAAAGGAAACAGAAGAAATGAGCAGGAGAGCAGGGGAGTAAAGAATGAGCAGGACAGTAAAGAATGAGAGAAGTAGAGTATTAGAGTAGCCATAATAATAATAATAATAACAAAGCATGTAATGAGAAGATTTTGAATTTATCATGACCTATGACTCCATGTATTCAGCCGACGCCGCACCCGCTTTCGGAAAAACCCTGGAATAAGTTTGCTGGGGCTGGCTCCCGGCAATTTTAATAACAAATTTTCTCATAAGATTTTAAATGGAACAGTGACTTCAAACCAGGAATGCAGGAAATACAGATAATATGTTCACATTCTGAAATTTTCCAGTAATTTTAAAACTTCAAAGATGTCCCATCTGGCCCTATTTTGATGGGTGACAGTTATTTTGCTTCTCCCAAAAGACACATTATGTATAAGCCTTATAGTTATTTTGTTTTGTTTTTTTAAGTTTTCAATTAGAGGCAAATTCTAAAAAGCAAAACAATGTGAGCATTTTTTTAGTAGATTCATTCAACTTGATTGCTTGATTTTAATTTGAATTAATCTGAAGCACCATTCTTTTGTTCTTTAATTCATCTCTATATGCACCCTCGGAAACCCTGTACAGGGTCGCTATGGGTCGGAACCGACTCGACGGCACTTAACAACAACAACAACATATGCACTGTACTTGCAATCAACTTCTTTATTGGCAAAAAATTGGAGGGGCTTGAGCTACCATGAAATAGCTAAGAAAGAAATAGAGGAGTAGAGTGCATCATGTGCTCCTATAGTGCTTCTATAAGAGGTCATGATGCATTCTGCATCTGGAGTCCTGGTGTGGTACTGTGGGTTAATGCGCCAGACTGCAAAGCAGTTTAAACTGCAAGGTTGGTGGTTCAAGTTCACCAGCTGCTCCCTGGAAACCTTATACAGGGTCACTATGGGTTAGAACCGACTCAACAGTACTTAACAACAACATAGTGCATCTACCTCTCTTTCCCCCTTTTTGCCTCTGTTTACTTCTGTAGTTATATGTCTCCTGCCTGAATTCGTTTTAATTCATTTATCTCCCCACAAAACAAAGCTATTCTTCAGATTCCTAACTGATAACCCATTGAAACCTGTCCTGTCTTGCTCCTCTATTACACCTGTACCAATCTTGAAGGACTGTTGTTGTTGTTGTTAAGTGCCGTCAAGCCGATCCCGGCCCATAGCGACCCTGTATAGGGTTTCTGAGGCGCAGATGGTGAGCCTGAACCACCGACCTTGCAGTTCAAATGGCTTTGCAGTCTGGTGCATTAACCCACAGTTGTTGTTGTTGTCAAGTGTCGTCGAGTCGATTTCGACCCATAGCGACCCTGTATAGGGTTTCCAAGGAGCAGCTGGTGAGCTTGAACCACTGACCTTGCAGTTCAAATGGCTTTGCAGTCTGGTGCATTAACCCACAGCGCCACACCAGGACTCCTAACCCACAGTAGGGGGTGAGAAATGTAGACCCTACCAAGAAAGATCACAAGGGCAATCAAGAAATACAGATAAAGACTATCAGCTGGCCTAATCATCAAAGTAGAAGGGTGAGCCCTGGGATCTACATTGTTCAAGTTTGAGAGACAATGGGGATAGGTACAATTCTGAAAAACAAAAGGAATACCCAGGTGACAGCCAAACCTTCAATATAATATGCCTACTAACAGCAACTGATGCAAAACTACATCAGTGATCTTTTTCCAAGACAAAGGTAGGAAACATTGAATCCCATTGTACTACTGAATTAGGAAGTTAGGGAGCAAATAATATGTCATCTTCCAGCTAACTACAATTTTTGTTGTTGCTAATTTAGCATTTATATACCAGCTCTGCCTACCAGAATGGGGTATATTCATTTGAACAAGTCACTTAACCTCTCAGGTCTTTGGTTTTCTCCCATGCAGAAAAAGGAAAGTAAAGCATATATATATGCTTCAGATAAAAGAATAGAAAATCCGTGAAAACTTTTATAGTTTTATTAAGGTCAAACTCCTAATGGACTTTCTAATACTGAGTAGTTGAAAACAGATATAAAACAATAAAAGGTATTATCATTTAGTTTAAAAACCTACTCTTATTCAGAAGTAAACATTAACTCAAAACCCAAGAGAAAAGTGAATTACAGTTTTAATTTAATCTTGACTTTAAGGAAAACTCATACATCATTCCATATTATTTACCTTGTAAGAGTGTTGCAATCTGAAGAGATTTCTGAGATGGATGTTCTTTCAGAATGTCTAAGACAGTTCTACCTAAGCTATCCTTTATATTGGCATCAATTCCTAAAAGAAAAAGAAAAACCCACTAGATGCACAACACTGGAAAATCATCAAAAGATAATGTCAATATAGAACTTCTCTAATCTCAAATGTACACAGATCAAACATTAAAGGTGGCTTAAAAAATCGTTAAACTACACACATATACACACAATTTTAGCAAGAAAGAAGGTGAGAGGGTTTATTGCTACCAAAGACTAGAAACATTCTTGATAATTAATTGATTTGCAAAGAGCACTGATATAATCATTGCAGTTGTTCATTAGTGCCCCATACTTTGTTAAAGGATATATCATAAAATGGAAACACATTATTGATTTAAAAGATGAATATTTTACATATTGTTGTTAAGTGCTGTCCGGTCTGTTGTGACTCATAGCAACTCTGTATAGAGTTTTCAAGGAGTAGCTGGTAGGTTTGAACTGCTGACCTTGTAGTTAGCAGACCTGTGCTTATCTTACAGTGCCACACCAGGGTTCATGTGTATAGTATGATACAATGTTTAATAAGTGATGTTCTATAAATTAGTAATGTTAGAGAAGTCTTAGAAAATGTGAACCCTCACAAAGGTTCAAAAGGTACCATTGTTTTGGAACATAAATCAAACGCCCCATAATATTTATGCATGCAAGATTATATCCCATGTCTGCCATACCTGTGCAAACTGCTTCAAGTTTGTCAATGAAACACTTCTGGAATTCTTTTAGTTCTGAAAATATTTAATGGACTAAAAAGTCATTTTAATGAAACTACTAACTTTGATTTCCCCAAAAAATGTTTATAAGCCTTACCAAGAGCACGTAGCAAACAAAATAAGTTTATACGATCTAGCCCTAAATATTAGCTGATTGCAGCTAGCTTTTTGGGATTATTGATTTTTCTGGATGTGCAACCAGAAAATATTTCATTGACTGTCTCAAATCACTTACCACATCGCTGTGTTACATGTTAAGGTTAAACATGTATGAAAACTGTATAAACACAATCATAGTTCAATAGTTCGCCAACATTTTTCTATTTTTCAGAAGGAAATACACCCATGGCAAGTAGTGTATAATATGAAAAACTCACAGCAATTTTTTACAAGTATGAATTTGGAACTGACTCGACGGCATCTATCAACATGAATATACCCCATGCCTACAGATCCAAAGGAAAAAGTCTGACCTCAACTCCAAATTCATTTCATTTCAGTCAGTATACATACACACATGAAGATAAACAATTTAGTCCACATTGATGTTGTTTCAAAGCATTCCTTCTAAAAACATGTGCTGAAGGCTACAAACAACAGCTAATTCAGGTGATGAGGTAACAAGAAAAAGAATTCACCTGATTGGTAGTGACATGTTTCATAATATAAAAACTCAGACAAAATAATCTGTTCCTTAATAAACCAAGCAATTGTCATATTCTCAAAGGTACCAACCCATCTCTTTGAAAGAGGCAGAGATTTCCCTTTAGGTTTAGAAATCTATGTACTCACTCACTCTTGGAATCCCTCTCATCAAGTCTCACAGTATGAAGTAGTTAAACTGCTTACTGATTAACCACCCTCATTGTCATCCAACTGACTGCTTCTCATAGCAACCTTATGGAACACAGTCAAACTGCCCCCATAGGACCGCCAAGGCTGTGGAGCTGCAAGGTAATGCGTGGACGGCAATGACGGTTTGAACCACAAGCTCGGCAGCTGCTTCTCAGATACGCTACACAAGGTCACTAAAAGTCAGAGATGACTCAATGGGTCTTAACAACAAGAGCAAACCTTTACAGATGAGTCCTGGAGTGGAGCTGAAGGATAAGCACTGACCTGTCATTGTAAGTGTGGCGCTGTAGGATAAGCATTGGACTGCGAACTGTAAGATAAGCACGGGACTACAAACCCAACCACTCCTGAGAAACACTACCTAGGGACAATATGAGTTGGACTTAAACAACAACAATGCTTTCCAAAAGCAGATAGCCATATCTGGAGCAACTAGTGAGTTTCAGCTATCCATCAATCAGTTAGCAGCTGAACGCTAAACCATTGCACCCCCAGGACATTTTGTCTTTTATCTACAAGTTATCAATCTCCCTGAACACTTTTCTAAACCTATTCTACCTAGCCTTGCCCCCTGACATTCTACAAATACATATTTAGCAGGTCCATAAATTCACCATCTTAATGTAGGTGTTTTTAGTTAACAGTACGGCACTACAGGACAAGTACTGGAGTGCTGATAGCAATGTTGGCAGTTCAAGCCCGCAAGCCACTCCTTGAAAAACCTTTGCAGGGTTGCTATGAGTTGGAACATATACTGAGCAGCACTTAACAACACCAACAATAATCCTGTGAGCCTTCCATGAAAATAGGAACCTAAAACAGAAAACGGCATTATTTTCATACTTACCTATCATCCTGAAGAGGATCCATGAGCTCAAGATTAGACCCTCAGCAATTAAAGTTAAGTAAGGCACTCTGGTGTGGTGTGTGGGCTAATGCGTCAGATCGCAAAGTCATCTGAACTGCAAAGTTAGTGGTTCAAGCTCACCAGCTGCTCCTTGGAAACCCTATACAAGATCACTATGGGTCGAAATCAACTTATTGGCACTTAACAACAATAACAACAGTGTAGTGGTTACAAGTTATTCTGTTAACCTCAAGGGCAGCAGTTTGAAACTACCCGCTGTTCCACAAGAGAAAGATGAGGCTTTCTGCTCTCGTAAAGATTTACAGCCTCCGAAACTCTATACAGAGTCGCTATGAGTTGGAACCAACTCCATGGCACATCACCAAAAACCAACCAGGAAAAAAATATCAACTCCTATCCTTATTATATCACTGACTGCTGGGCTTTAGATTTTAGTAAAACTGAAATTTAGTAAATATGGAATCATTGAAATCTTTCTGATTCAGTTACTTACAAAACGCTAAGCCTCTAGATTTGTTGGCATCAAAACAACAACAAAATGGATTTAGCCAAAATTTTATAACAATATACCCTGAAATTGTTCTTTAGAATCCTATATGCTACATTTTTACTTACAACATTAAGCTAAGTGGGTATTCATTTGGCATCTAGCAATGAATTTGGTGGGCAGTATCTCCATTGTATATAAATGTAGTTTAAAGGTATACAATTATTATTTCAAAGAGTTTATACTAAAGCATTTATTGAACAAAGGAAGGTACAACTTCACATCAATTTTAGCTAAACACTGAGAACAATCCAACATAATGAGTTGTTTTTGGGTGCCATCAGGTTGGTTCCAATTCATAGTGACCCTACGTACAACATAGCAAAACACTACCTGGTTGTGTGCCACCTTCAAAATCATTGTCATGTTGAGCACATTGTTGCAGCCACAGTATCACTCCATCTAATTGAGGGTCTTCCTTTTGCCAATCTGCTGGCTTACCAAGCATGACTTGTCCCAACCGATAATATGTCCAAAGTACCTGGGACAAACTCTCGCCATCCTCACTTTTAAGGAACATTTTGGCTGTACTTCTTCCAAGACAGATTTGTTTGTTCTTCTGGCATTTCATGGTATGTTCAATATTCCTCTCTAACATTTTAATTCAAAGGCATAAAATCTTTGTGTTATTTCCTTATTCATTATGTAGCTTTCCCACACAAGAGCAGATTAAGGATCCCAGGGCTTGGGTCAGGCAACCTTAGTCTTCAAAGTAACTTCTTCGCTTTTTAAAACTTTTAAGAGGTCTTTTGCAGCAGATTTGCCTAAT